CGCTGCTGCTGCTGCTGCTGCTGCTGCTGCTGCTGCTGCTGCTGCAGGAGCGGCCGGAGCTGCGGGTGGAGGGCTGGCGGCGCGCCGAAGAGGCCGGGCTCCCGGAGGCCATGGTCTTCGTGCACGGCTACAACACCAACGATGTCCAGTCGATGCAAATAATGGCGCAGATGGCGGCCTTCGGGAACTTCCCTTCTTACATCAAGCCCTTTCTCTTCACCTGGCCCGCCGGCGACAACTTCCTCGAGTTCTTCGACGCCAGGGAAAACGCAAAAAACCCCCAACTCCACCAGGCCTTCACCGACTTCTTCAGGGCCCTCAGAGACAACGGTCCGCCCCGCGCCACCCGGCGGCCCCGGGGGGCCCCGGGGGGCCCCGGGGGGCCTCGGGGGGCCCCGGGGGGCCCCCGGGGGCCCCGGGGGGCCCCAGGGGCCCCCTGGGCCCCTCTTCGCAGTTTGCTGCTCAGTGCTGCTTTGCTGCTGTTTAGACACTTGGGGGGGGGGATCGGAAGGCCTCGGGTTTGCCCAAGGCCCGGAGAGGCCTGTAGCAGCAGCAGCAGCAGCAGCTACTGCTGCTGCTGCTGTTGGGGCCATCCTGGGGCCCCAAGGTGGAAAGGGAGACACTTTAGAAAGGCCTGGAGACATTTTGCTGCTGCTGCGTGTCTGGGGCTGCTAGGAGACGCTTTGTCGCGGATTTAGGGTTTAGGGTTTAGGGTTTAGGGTTTAGGGTTTAGGGTTTAGGGTTTAGGCTTTGTTGTGCGTCTCAGGCATTCGGCAAATACACCTGTTGGCCCACAGCCTCGGCTCCCGCCTTCTCATTATGAGTCTTCACAGAATAGAACAAGAAGAGTAAATCCCAATTCCCTCTAAACCCAATCTGGGGGCCCCCTGACAAATCAAACGCAGCTTTCCCCGTCTCGGAGGGCCCCAGGGGTCCCCATTAACTTTCTGGGCTTCTGGGGGCCTCCTGTGGGGCCCTCGGGGGCCCCTGCGGGCCCCTTTGGGAGCCCCAGGGGCCCAAGGGCTCCTAGGGGCCCCATGTGGGAATCCCAGGGGCCCCGGGGGGCCCCTGGGGGCATCATTTGGGGCCCCGAGAGGCCCACACAGCCTTGCGGGGTTTCTAGAGGGCCCTAGGGGCCCCAGGGGCCCCCAGAATCTCGTTTAGTCCTTGGGGGCCCCCGGGGCCTCCCACATAAGAACTGG